TGGTCAAGCGAGAAACTGGATAAACTGGTTTGACCTGATGGCTGCTAACATATGTGTTAAGTGGTCTAAAAACCTACAGGGAAACCATACAACTAATGCCGTTTATAAACTTAGGTAGAATTATTTCGGGAAATTAGACGTTTTTCTTAAATGTGGAATAAATGCTTTGAACAATCAACAAGAACATATTTCTTAGGCTATTTATCTAAATTTATAGACTTACTGAAGTAGTGGCATTTTGCTCTGTATTGCAATTCTAATTTTAATATGTTGGTATTGCTGTGCGCGTGCAAGGCCTTCAATACAACGTTTAATGAAAAGTTGGTGTGTCTTTAGGTAGGTGTAGAGTTGTCACGCAATCCCCCTTTGTGCTGTAGCGTGTTTATCCCCGCAGCCCAAAGGGGCAAGTTTTGTAACCTCGTTCACGGTCTCCCCTCTCCTCTCCTACTGAGATCAGGGTGAAGAGATATCCTAGAAACGATGTTGCAAGCTTTGGTTGCTTTCGGTATTCGTGCTTTGTTCGTAATCGGTGTGAGTCGGAAAATCCGAGAACTTTCGAACTTTTCTTAACAAAGCTGCAGCACCATTGAACGATGACTTAATCGAATTTTGCTATTTTGACAAGTAGCTTTTAGTATATTTATAATTATGTTACTCAATAATGTATTTCACTGCTTAGGGAATCATCCAAATTTTAAAGCACGTAACGTTCATAGTCAACTGTAAGTTGCCGATACTAGCTGTGTTTCTCTGAAATAAAATATTCTGCCAAGAAAGGGCGTATCTCATCATCACTTGTATTCTTATCAAGAGCTGGCGTTTTAAGCCCAGCGGTTTTGTCTTGACTAGCTAGATACGTCAAGCCTTTGGGTATAGTCAACAGTTGAATCAATTAGTTGATTCTGACTAGCTCTCTGCATGCACCCACAAGCCTTCCCATCATCCTTCGCTTTTAAAAAAATAAATGGCACTAATACTAAATATTCTCAGCCAAATTCTTGCCAATAAAGTGAGCTTATTTGCAATATTTTCTTCTTTTTTTGCGCTTGCCTATAGTTTCACTAAAAGCGATCTTGAATCGAGTATTGGGGTTGCGTTGAATGTGGAAAACGAAGATCGGAAATCTCCGACATGAAAAATATTCGTCGGGAAACGTAGGAACGTGTCCTTTTAAAGCTCCAGGAACCATGACCACTACATTTGAATAACTGAGCTATTGATTACTTACACCAAGAGCTGTCCCTTCTTTTCGCCGAATCCGTCGCGCAGGTAAAAAAAAATCAAATAATATTATTATCGTGCCGCACAGAAATCTGAGAGTGAGGCACACGAAAGTTATGAATTACAACTAGACCAGAGAGTTTGAATTTTTGTACGCCTCACCCCCAGAGCTCTACGCGGTGAGCAAACATCGATTTTTTTTTACCTGCATAAGGGACTTTGCGGAAAAGGAGGGACTGCTCGTCTTTAAATATTTCGTGACACGAGAATTCTCCAATATGGCGGAGGATCGAGACTAAATCTGCTTGGGATCTTTTCATTCTCAAACTAGGGGTAATTTTTACGTCTAAAAATTAAAACATGGTTCAGGAACAAAGTACTTATAATATGTTTCTATTTTGCTAGCACGTGTGCGTCAAAACAAGATTGAAATCGCATAACTATTAAAAACAAAGTAATTGCGCTTTCGCCGGTCATTGTCTACGTTTTGGTGATTTATTTCGCCTCTTGGCGACAAAAATGATAACTGATTTCGTTTGTTCTCTTTCTCTCCTAGCTGAATATTTCAGACAAAACATTCTTTTAGCAAAAAGGTGAATTGTTCTATAGGATCAGTAATTGCTCTTCTACCCGTATTTGCAACGTCTATTCCAAAACCAGCCTTTCTCAAATAGGTATTTAAAATGTATTTCTTAATTTGACGGTGCGGTTCAACTTGACTTTAACATTTTTCGCTCTCAACAATGCTGATCGTAGCAGTGTGTACAAGAGTCTTGTCGCATTTGAACCTACAAGCAAAGAGAAAATTACTTGTTGAAACAGTTTGTTTACGACGTAAGACAGTTTCACTTCTCCAAATGGCATTGAAAAGAAGAAACTCCCCCCAACCCCCACCCCCACCCACTCCTTTCAATGATGCTATTTCACCTTTTTCATGCAAATATCTCAAGACACCGAAGAAAAATGACAGTCTAGAAACAACATTGGACGAGGGAAGGGGGGGGGGAGTGTGGGGTGGAGGAGAATTATGATGTGCGGGACTGGATTGAAAATAAGAGTACTTACGCTTCGCTGTCTAAACAACAGTTTTGTCTGCGATTGATTGAAGTGTACCACTCAGCGCTCTTCTGCTCGGTTGAGAAAGCATTCGACTGGGAAATCGGCGGGCAGGAGTGGTAATCTTCGTGGGTGGACCAAGAGTTTTCTTGTTTTCTTTGTTTTTCGCTCGTGACCAATGCGAAACATGTTTCTTTAATTAGAAGAAATAAATCATGGGGATCTATTTCATTTGTTACTCAGGGTTCAAACCGACAATTTGTTCTTTCTATTTTTAGCCAATGTACAGTGTTCACAATCACAAAAGCTTTGATATGGTGCAGTAGCTGTGGTTGTGCCGGTAGGTGAAGTATTATGAAACGCTAAGCCTTTTTTGTGGACTTGACATTTAAAATGCAGAGTGTTCCAATTACTCTCTCACTATTGAACACCCGCGGGTTATTGAAGTGCACAGTCGAAAAGTTGCCAACTTTTATTGAAAACCCTGCCAAAATGACTCTATCATGAGACAAACGATGAAAACCCATTCTCATTACACAAAAGCTTTGTCTCTAAAATTGCCTATTGTAAACGACAATTTCACCAGAATTTAAAATAAGATCAGCCGTAAAAAAAGTGTTTCAGTACCATTTATCAGGAAATCTAAAAATGACTGATTTTTGCAGAATGCCTACCTAAGAAACAGTTATGAATCTTGAGAAAAAAAGGCTTGCCTTTTTTTTTTTGTCTCCACACAGACATAAGCCCACGCATATGCCTTTTAAAAAGGCGTAGGTGTGGATCTTAAAAAATTTGACATGTTAATTGGGCCTTCACTTTTAACCCTTATTGTCTTTAGAGAGAAGCTGAAAGAACACTTTTACCTCTCCATCAAAGTGAATATCGTGATATTCCCCTAACCTGAATAAAGCAAATCGCTTTACTATTAACATAAAATTAGCCATTTTGTTAACAATAGATTCAAGAAGGCCGTCTAAATGTGCCCTCCTTTGGCAGAGCTTCATACGTGCAGTCAAGATTTCTTGTGACGATGTTTTCAACTATGACACCTGACCAGTGTATTCTGAATCATATCACAAGGAAAAACGTTCGCATAGCGACCTTTTCACCCAAACTGTTGTAGCAGGTTGAAAAATTTTATATTGGTAATACAGGTTACCTGCTGGGAGGTCATGTTATTCCCGTGTCTTTCCCAGCCGCGAGTGATCGATGGTTTCAAGAGACTGAAATATTTTTGGTAGAGAAATATGTTACCTTCAAAGTCGATCGCTGGATAGGAAAGTTCCTCAGGATTTGTTTTGATCTAGGGCAATTAAACAAGTGTAACCCGTTTTCTTTTTGTAATTAGATAAGACATTTTGTTTATTTCTGTCCCCTTTTGTTCCACAACATTATAATAACAGAAATAATTCAATTATACCTTCAGGTACCTGCTCCATTGATCCACAAGGATTTATTTTCTCTTTTTTCTCTGTTGAGAAAAACGTGATCTGGAAGTTTTCCATTAAAGCCAATGTTTAAATCGGTATTAAAAAAAGTTCTCCTACAGAGAAACCTACGCGGTGTTTATGTGGACATAAGTGGACATTAAATTTGCACCGCAAAAGCCTGAAAGTTTGAAATCGAAAAAATACCAAAACAACAGCATTAAAAGCGAAATAAAAATGTGTTCTTGTTTTCAATCATTAAATCTCTCGGGATAACACCTTTTAAGCTTCTCATTTGTTAAAATGTACCGAAAACAAGTACAAACAAGATAGTTGTTCACCCACTTTCATTACAATTGGTTCCTATGTTGTACTAAAAGCTCATTAGATACAGGGTTTGCTTCAAAGAAAGGATTGAGAGTTCTCACTTTAAGACCGATGCCTTCTCCTCTTCGAATTCACGCAGTTTAAATCAAATCATAACAAAGTGTTTTATCGAAATCGAGCCTCGAAATTTTCTCCAAAAACATTCAACCCATTTTCCATTATTTACAACCTTAGAAAGGTCTAGTTTTATTTCTCAAACTGGTAATAGTTTCCTCAGCCACTGGTTAAGATTGATTATGCAACCTACGCCTTATTTCGCGTGTTATAGCCACTAACGGCGTTTTCAGAAATTCACGGGTTTGAGAGTAACATGCCCTAATAACAATTTTCGATTTTTCCTGCATACATCCAGTATTATGTCAAACATTCCTTCAAACGTGTGAATTTCCACACCTCACATCAAAATGTTGATCTCAACAGCTCCGGTGTTTTACCCTATATCTGATAAACCAGTAACTGTTCAAAAATTAAATTGGGGGCGTTTTTTGTAATTGTCCTGTAAAATTCTCCATAGAAAATTGTAGAGTTGTTTCGCAACCGGCCAGAGTTACGTTTTGTACACCTCTGACACGTGGGTTCAATTCCATGTTTTTGACTTTCAGTCCTCGATCGGCTTCTCATCCTTGCATCCAATATTCATATTGTATTGATCTCGACAAAGAAAAAGCCAGTTCTCCTAGATGTCCAGGTGTAAATCTACGATATCGAAATAAAGGGCACTTATTGAAGTTTTTGCCAAGGTTTCGGCGTGCTATAAATGGTTTGTCCAAAATTTTTCCTTGTTCACGATCGGCGTTCCATAAAGAGCAAGAATTAACTCCATTCCTACTAGAAACAGCATGCGATTCAACCAAGTTAATACGGAACTCCGAGTATATCAACTTTTAATGACATTTTAGCAATTAAAAGCGAAGTAGGAAATTTCATGGCCAATGTGGTTACAGCTGTTTTCCAACTCGAATTTTGCGGCGCTTCATGACTGATTTTGTGGAAATTAATTCACTTTTTTCCGTTAAGATCGTGTCTTACTAAAAGTTAATTTTTTTTGCAGATTTTTGTTTCGAGGAATTAAAGTCTTGTTGATTTAAACGACATCTAATTACCTTTAAAGAAAGTGGCTTTCGGCAATAGATAGATGCAATCAGTGTTGAAATAAGTTTACAAAGATAACTCCGTATTTTGAACGTCACAACTGTAAACCACAAAAGCCTTTGTTTATGCCAAGAGTCCTTTATCTGGCTTTAAATAACCATCTCTTAAAATTAGCTTCCATGCAGAGGGAATTTATTTCACCACTCACTGTTAGGATTACTAGAGATAAATATTTTCTTCAAAAATGGACTTTTTTTCTTCCATAACATGCGGGATGAATTAGAACATTTGCAAGTCAATGCTCTGTCCGCTGCCATTTTTATAGCAACAGAATAAATTATAGTCAGATCATGCGCGAACTTTGGGAGGAAGTTGGAAAAAAAGCCTGGTAGAGTATTTAAACCCCATAAGCCAAGGTACATTCAGGTGCACGCTACAGTTTCGTTTCAGTTCAATTCAGGTGCTCTGTTGCCATTAACACATAAAGATCAAATGTTTGCCCCAAACACAAACCAGCTCAGTTTCGCTCAGCGAATGGATCAAAACGTGCACACCAGCTTGCAAGTTAGCCGCGAAGCACCGCCGTTTTTACCAGATAACATTATGGTTGGAACAAGCACAGGCTGTTTCACAGATGGCAACACATTTGACGGAGACACAGGCAACGACTCTGACTTCGCCAAAGGTATCTATAATTTGCGTCCGAGAGGAGCTCTCACTCATGTTCCGGCGCTGCCGAAGTTTGAGCAAGAGGAAGCTGGCCCCACTCCGCCCGTCAAAGCTAAGCGACAGCGCAACTCCTTGAAGAAACGTCTTCTTGTGAATGCGCGGGAACGCGACCGAATGCGTGTTTTAAACAACGGATTTCAGGCGCTTCGGGACGCTCTGCCATGTTATATTGCCGACGGACATATGGCAAAGATCACTACTCTTCGTCTCGCTATAAATTACATCAAGGCATTGAACGAAGTCTTGAACGAGGAGCCGCCGCCTGTTTCAAGATGCGCTCCTCATCACCAGCCGCCAAACTCCACTGTTCCCCGCAACACCAACATGATGGGAATCGCTGTTGACCCAGTTCATTTTAAAACACCTCTTCCAATTGATGTAAGTACTTGCACCTCGATGCCCTTCGAAAATCCCTAATCCAGAGCCGAATAGCTTTTAACTCATTCAACCCATGTCTAGCTTCGCTTCATTAAAAACATGTTTTCTTTACAGCCTAAAAGAGAACGAGCAAACGGAATTTCAAATTCTTCTTTAGCTTCGCCGTTATCTCCTCCTTTGGAAATTTCCATCTTATTTTTGGCTTGCCTGTAAATCAATCAAAGTTTGTCAGATCTACAACATTATTTTTCTGCTGACGAGAGCTTCCACAAAACCAGGCCCCATGATGGCGTGCCATTAAAACAGAAATATGAAGTCGTTTGTAGAATAATTAAGGTCCAGTGCAGTTGAGAATATCACTAGTTTCCGTTAGCCCTTTTTAAACTCACACGTGGTTCGTTTCTTCTTTTTGTTTCCAAAACCTAACTGGCAACGCAAAATCGAATTTCAAGAATTAAATTTTAATTACTCTCTGTTTTATTAACGTCTGGCCCGACTCAATGTTTTGTTTATGTTTAAGAAGCCGTCCTACATGAATTGTTCACGAAAAACGTAAAAAAAAAATTGAGTATGTTACCTCAAGTTAATTTCGTTTCAACTGCGTTGTAAGAAAAGGGAAGTTAAGTTTTGCAGTTCTTAAGATGTAAAAAAAATCCTTGAAAATTTCGTTTTTAACGATAGAAAATAATGTTTGAGGCAAAAACCATTTTCCACATTTCCTTCCAGTTTAACCCAAGCACTAGACTTAGTTGCTTTATTTTGTGCCCTCGAAATGTTTCGATGAATTAATTATCTCTTTGAACGATATGTCGTTTACACGATCATCGTTTAAACACCACAACGTGTTGGGAAATAGTGCAAACTTTTATTAGAGGTTAAAATGGATCTTAAAATGTGATTTATTAATTTTTCTCCAGGTTCGTCATTCAAACACAAGGATTTAAAAGATGAACACCATTCGCATTTTGCAGACATCTTCGCAGCGACATAGTACATATTAGTTTCAAATGATTATAATGTGATATTCCTTTACTGAGAATGTACAAGAAAATCCGAAAAACAAATAGTTATATAAACGTCTTTTGTATTTGTAGATAAGCAATCCATTTGCGATAAAATTTGCGCCGGTATTAGGCTGTTGTCATACAAAACGTAGGTTAAACGCTGAATCATATTCATTTTTTATGTAAACCTCTAGAACTTTCGTCTTTCTTCCTTCTCACAGTCTTTGCAATTAATCGAAAAATTCTCGCGCTATCTACCTAACAGACCAACTTTCAACTGCTGTAAACGATTAAACGATAAGTTAATAAAAATTTGTAAACCACAAGCTGCAAATATGGTTAACTTTGAGTTGCTTACAGAAAATTTCGAATATTTAATTCAAGTTTTTATATCAGCCCATAAGCTCTAGTTTGGTCGGTCTTGCCTGACCATTTGCGCAGTATTTACATCAAATTGTATTCGTCTTTAAAGATATTTTAGTCAAAAAGCCAATTCTTATTTTAAACTTAACAATATTACCAATATTCTACAGTTGCAGTCTGGATAATCAGCCAAAAACGTTTATTGTTTTTAAGGGCTTCTGTGTTTTATTTAAAGGAACGGAAATCGATTTAAAATTAATTTTCAATACACATCAAAAGTTGGTACTTAATCGCATTATAAATGAAGTTACAAAAACTGAAAAAAAGGGACTATATTCTCAAATGCAAAGCTTTCCGCGTTCAGAGCAATTTTGTTAACAATTAGGTTGTTTCTGGCAGATGTAGACTTCGTAAATAAATTCTCCGAGTCGCAATTTATCTCATGCTCAGTTGTTCAGTTTTGTTCACAACTTTCCTTTTTTTCAAACGTAGCATTATCCGTAGACTGCTATATCCTCGTGTTTGAGTCTTTCCCTTCCTTTTTAATTTTTTTTTTTTTGCGGTTTTTTCCATTGTTATACTTGAAAATAGCCGAAAACATTTACGAAAAAAAAAGGTCGATCGCTTTGTTCCTAAGGAGTTAATTTTTCGCTAAGTTTTTTGTCTTAAAAGCAACTGTCATTTCGACTTCTCCCGTCGACACTATAATGAAACGTGGCACTTGAAGATTCTCTCGGAGTGAGCTGTTTCAAAGAACAATTAAGACTTCAAAGACGGCTTATTTAGGCACAATATGGTTTACTCACGAGAGACATTATAATTGAGTATGCATTAAAGAGTATTTCGTAAAGTCATTAAAGCTTCGTTTTTCATCAAACCCTCATGCCTCAGATTTCGACTGCATAGCCCAACCTTGAAATGTTCTTGTTATGTTATCTTTTGGTTATACACTCGCAATTTAGGCTATCGAACCTTGTCCGCCATGTACGATCGAATCTTAGTGATTCTAGGAAATCCTCCACAAGCTGTAAACATATTGTCGTTTTTGTGTTCTTAATGAGGTCTCGCAAATGAGTTATGAGTCTATTTTACACGTCGCGGGCATTTTATGTCAAAATAACATTATTTGAACGAATGCGGGTACACTAAATGGCTTCTCAAAGTGAGTTTCCATTTCAAGGAAAAACAAATACTTCTTGTAGATTTGAGGGGTGTCGCTCGATCTCAGCAATTAAGAACCACGCTAACTGCTGTCAAAATGAATTAATGTTGCATTGTTTTTTACCCAGGCAAATAGCACGACTGGTTTAAAAAAAGAGAGGGAACACGATACGGTTCTGTCAAGATCCCCCACTGCTGAAAGGCAAAACCTGATTCAGTTTCAAAATATTGTGGCAGCAAAACGAATTTTTTTTTTAATAGAGAAGAGAATTTCTAGAGAACTCCATTGTCGTCTGTTTTGACATTGTTTCCGAAAACCCGCGTTTATAGTATTCTTATTAAAAGTGGGACTAAGCACTTTTTTACCATACGTTAAACAACAACTTTTTTTAAAGGAGTAAAGAAAGCGTGCTATCCAATTGGTCAAGAAAACTTCTTCATAAAACAAGATTTTTTTGAAAATTTGCTTATAAGTGTATCAATGACTCTCTGGTGTTGTGAAATGCTCGATATCTCAGAATCATACACTATTTTCTTAATTGTGACATACGTTGTTCGAGCAACTTTCCAAATGAGGTTTCTTATTCCTGACTAAAGTGGATATTCATCTCGCAAAGTCTTTATTCCAACAAAAACTATCTAAGGAGAGACACGAACTGATCTTAAGAGGCTCGATCTTTTTCCATTTTAAGTTGATTGTTTGCGAGGTTCAAAACTAATTTTAACTTGAAGGAGACCGCAACATTTATTTCGGAAAGATAAAAGAATCACGAATGGGCAATGAGCAGCGAATACTGAAACGGATTTTAGACGGAGAACCTAAAAAAAAAGGAAAGACTTAATTTTACAAGATACGCACACCGCATCGTAGCTGCTTTTAGAGGAAAACATAGACTTTCATAAGAAGCAGACATTACGTTAATTCTGTAGTATATCTTGTGCAAATTTAAAGCTCAGGGCTTTTCCCGTTCAATGCTTCCATCCAGACTTTAAAAGTATCACGGCGCTAAATGGGCGTGAATTTCGTTCTCAGTCTCTTGTGTGGCACTGATCATATCAGAGGGGTTTAAATTGACAGTATCCTTGAAACAAAAATAACCAACTGTTCTGGCGCCTAGAATTCTTGTGCCCTACAGAGTTCATTCTAAACATATGTTATAATACCCAATATGTCTTTTTTCTATTTGAAAACTAACAATGCCTTTAATTTTTGGCGGCGTTGCAGTCCTAATTTCGGTAATTCAATGCGATAAATGTTCGCAAGAGTTACCTTTACGGTAGCTAGAGAACACAATGGAAAAAGCTTTTTTTTGTGTCATGGCTTTTGTTCAATCCTTTTGTAAGTTTTGAAAATTAAATCCTTTCTTTTCCAGTTTTGGATCCCTGATGTGCCTTGCCATTGTAGCAATTCAATATGAATGTGATTCCATCGTTGCTGAGACAAGAAAAAGCAACTGGTTGCATTGTATGTAGATCGGCCTCAGCTCGTAATAACAAAGTGATCAATCATAACTGGCTGAAAGCTATCTAGCGTGAGAAACGGTAGTTAACAAAAGTCGGTACACCAAGCAGGATTTGAAAGTCTCAACTTAGAAATTTTTATCATCTAAAAATTAAGACATTGACTCTGTCAGTTTGACTCCAAACATGCTTAAGAATGCTTAGTTCATTAAGTGAGTTCCCAGCACGTCTGCATTCGTGTTCTGACACCACCAAGCTTTCAAAGTGTATGTTTCTATTTCCATTAAAAAAGGAGCTCAGCTTCGTACCTTTGTCCTTTTCATACAATGATAGGACAATTGAGTAAAGATGTTTCACTTCAGTAACATAAAACGTGCTAATCTTCGTAAAGCGACTACATCATTCTTTCGGGTTTTTTTTAGCAATATCAAGTTGCAAACATTTGGGGGAAACTTGGATTATCCGTTCGAAGGGGAATTTTATATTACATTACTCACAATCCGGCCATTTACAAACCATTTCTCGACAGTGTTCTCTTGATAAACTCGTCCATCTTTTCCTTGTGCACAAAGCTTGATTAAATATAATGTGATAATTAGCGCGTGGTTTAACTCAAAAGGAAGAGTAATCTCCCAAGGTGTTTGTGCATTGTTTTTCAAGTTTATGCGTCACGCATTAGTTTCGTCTGTTCGTCTGAAAGTTTTCGGTTCTCCACAAAAAAATCAAATTCTGGAAATACTCTTCAAAGTTTCTCTGCCCTCCAAGTTGTTAATTAAATTATTTGTTGAATCCTTAAGTTAACAAATAAGGCTTTCTCTTTTGCCTTTTTAAAAATTTAAGGATTTTGCAATAGATATCCTTAATTTAACAATAAAGGCTTTCTTTTTTTCTTTATAAAAATTTAAAGATTATGCAATAGATATCCTCAATTTAAAAATAAAGGATTCCTTTTTTGCTTTTTTAAAAATTTGTGCAATAAATAAACGCTTTTAATTACTACGTCAGTCCCTAGGGGATCGCTGTACTCCGACGGGAAAGGATATCACTTCCGACGGGGAATCCTGTATTTTGTTCAAAGCTGGGTTAAGATAACCTGGGGTTAAAGTGAAATCTGATTTCAGATCTGAAAGGTTGAAGAGCAAATTCAGTTTTATTTCTTTTTGACTACAATTTGATAATTGAATGCTCTAAAAACAATGGGTAAAATTATTCCAAAACGGCTTTTGAACAGAGAAATATCGAAACCTGGATTAAAATTTAACCCTGGGTTAGCGCTGATCAGCCTTTGAACAACTAGGCCTAGACTCCTTTAATAAAGATCGTAATCGAAGTATGAAAAGTAAACACAACACTCGGTTATAAGACTTAAGCCGTTTATCTTATCAGCGTAGGGTTCACATTTGTAGATGTGAGCGTTTCGTAACTAAGGAAGTAATCACTAATTGAAGCGCTTCAGAAATTATTTATCACACAGTGATACGTGCATACCACCACCTTGCACAGAGTACAGTTGTGGTATCAACTTCCAAGGTTTAGAGGCAAACTAACGATAGTATAGCAGGTAATTTAGTGTTAACAACTGAGTTGAAAACGTAAATTGGTCACCGCAAAGAGTTAAAAGACTGACGTTTCGAGCGTTAGTCCTTCGTCAGAGCGTTAGCCCTTCATCAATCGCTCTGACAAAAGGCTAACACTCGAAATGTCAGCCTTTTAACTTTTTACGGTAGCCAATTTACGTTTTCAACTCAGTTGTCAACACTAAACTACCTGCTATACTCTCCCACCGACGCAGCACCACAGTTTCCTTAGAAATTTACCCCCTTTATTGATTCATATCACGAATGTACTCACGAATTAAGGGAAAATTCTGACATGTACTCCAATATCCTTCCCCTGAATTAGTAGGAAATAGCCATATTATGTTTACGGCGCTTGCGCATAACGATAGCAGTAGGGATAGTTTTTTTCCCCCACCAATCACATCGCAAATTTCATCCCCTCTAATATTGCTGGAAGCGCATTAACATGTTTATCGGCCTCAGTTTCCAGTCCAAGAGGATGAGAGAAGATTGGGATCCACTAACGATCACATGGCGGCTAGATCCAAATCCAAAATGGCGAGTGGTGGGAACTTCCGAGAAGTTTTGCATCACAGTGGAAAGCCACAAGGAAACGTGATAAATTTTACTATAGGATCAGCAACGACAGTGAGGGATGAAGAAAACGCTCAGCCTCATACGGGAGGTGGATTTGCTTATCGAGAGTGCGGGACAGTCGACTCTGTTACTCGAAATCGTTACATCTTTTGGTTCGTATTCACAAGAAAATTTGTGTTTGAAACTTGTAACTCGCGGCAATTTTTGTCCTGTACTTTTGTTGTTAAGTTTTTGGGTTTAATACCAGTACACGTTGATTTTAATTAAGACTCAAAGTGCCTACCAAACTACGTAAAACAATAGCAATACTTAGATAGGTAGATAGATAGATAGATCGAGATTTAACTGTCGTTTAATTAAATTTTAAGAAACTTTGGAATATGCATACGGAGCCATGCCGCTTTCTAAACTATCTTAAACAGCCATTTTTGTCCACAAACTAGATTAAACTAAGGCTTGTAGATGTTTGTGCATTCAATTTCCTAATGTTTTGCGAATGTTTTCGTGTACAGGAGAGTAACAGATAATGTACTGGAGCTATTTGAAGAGTCCTTGGACAACAATCTCTCAGGAAACCACCTTGAACTACAGTTTACTGACGGTGTTCTTTTACCAGTGGTGTATATCTTTGAAACTCCTGCACATGTTAGCTTGTTGATTGCCACAACCAACAGTGTACACAGGATTGCGTTCCCTCATCCAGACAGACTTCGTAGACATGTAAGTCTTTTAAAGAAAATTAGATGGGAGCAGTCCTGTTAGACTGAATGAAGTTGAATATGTCAGGTCTTTTCCAGACATAACCTTTATACTGGCAAGTTTTTCACAGTGCACCAGATGTTCTAATTGAGAGGAGGGACACCCCCTTCTTATTGTTGCTCCTTTCATGCTTAAAGGAAACCTCTAGTGATTAAACAAGTCGCTATTTAAGTGATGAAAATGTCTTGTATTAGGAACAGTTGTTTACAATATACGGCAGAAACCTAAAAAAATGATGGAGTACCTTGTTATGTGGTGAATGCTATTAGTGTTCCATGTTTTGTCTCTGGAGGCTGCACTGCATGCTTTGATTTGCACAACCCCTGGTTTATATGGTTAATTTTTTTACCAACTGTGGTCTGTTGTACTTTACCATAAAATTTGTGGTTTTGGGCTGAGGTGTTTATGTCACTTTTAACTTTGTCTTCTAGGGATTTGGTTTGTCTTACTCTAGTGAAGGAAGTCAGCAGTCAATCTTTAATGATTTTTCCAGTCATCAGCTCAGAAGTCCTTCAAATTTTGGAACTTTTTCACAATCATGTGTGACTTTTGCAAGCTGGCTTTGCCAGGATGGACATTGTCTCTTTGCTTTAGCTACTACTTCAGGAATAATACTTTTGATAAAATTGCCGCCTCCTGGGAGTGGCGGTAAGATGAGTTTGGTTTTGGATATTGTATTGACATTGTGAGAGAAATTACATACTGATCAATTCTGGTTTGAATTATGATAGGTCAAGTTGAGCAGTATGAATTAAAGGAAGCAGGAGTTATGCAACGTCTTTGGTCTGGTCTTGTTCCTTCAAGCTTAAGGAGAGAGACAATGGCTTCTGATGCTACACTGAGTGTAGGAATCCATCCATACGGAAATCATATGTGTGTGTTTGCTCTTTGCCGAGATTTCAAGCTCAGGATTTGGTCCTGCCAGGTACTTTGGAAATATTGCAATAAGTATTTTTCAAAGCCAGTAAACTCTCCTTCAAGCATTTGTTTAATATTCACCTCTGTGGTTTTTTTTTTTTTTTTTGTCAAAATGGTCTTTCAAATGTATCTCTAATCCTTTCACTATCAAGATCCCATAAGTAATTCTTCTCATTTTCTGCCATACAATTCCTCTGATGTTAGTTTAGAGAATTTTGTATTGGATCAACTAACAATCCCTTCTCTAATACAGTTTGCATTTTTCTTTATTCTCATCATTTGTCTGCTTGGTACTGTATTGATATTGTAAGGAGAAATTCTGTCTTGGTCACTCATAGGAGTTAAAGGGTTGAGACTTTTCTTTTATTTTACCTAAAATATTTTAACATTGTTTCTTTACATTTCTGCCATGTACTGAATGCTACATTTTAAGTATTTATTGTTTGTATTTTTTTGTTATTTGTAACTTTGATTATTTTTGCTAGACTCTATCGTGCATTTACGTCAAAGATCTTCTGGAAGATATTCGTGATGATATGGATGCTCAAAACTTTCCAGGTAAGTCCAGTTTTTAAAATTATGGATCTTATTTTTGTTTACTGCTGTGTTGTCATTGTTTCTGTAGTGGAGATCAGGTTGAAGCAGTCAGTCAACCTGATATTGGTACTGGTTTTTTGAGATGATAAAATCCATGTTAGCTGGAGTTATTCTTTTGATGACTTCACATAATGCTTTTGTAAAATGAATTTCTTGTCCTTGCAGCTGTGGGTCATATACTCCGTAAAGTGGTAGATCCATCAAGTGGCAAACTTTATCTTGGTTTGTTTTTAAACCTAATGTACAACACACAGGTGAGTGGACAATTGAAAGGTTGAAGGGAGGGGGGAGGGGAGGGGGAAGGTGGGAGAAGCTACTAGTGGAATACTGCCAGTCACTGAGGGTCCAAAATTTTTTCTTGATATTACAAAAAATTATCGCTAAAACCTCTTGCAAACTACAGTTGAACCTGTATTAAGCTGTCACTGATGGTGAATGACAGAGTGACTGCTTGATACAGGCTGACTACTTAATTCAGGTTCCATAGATACAGGGTATTATAAAAAATGATACACAACACCACTTTACGCGATAATTGACCACTTACTCTACAGAATCTTGCCAAAAAATACTACTTTCTTTGATTTTGGGAGAAAAACATGATAAAATTTACTTAAAGGATTATTCTTAGTTTGTTTGAGTGGATCTGCCATAAGTGACCATTTAATACAAGTGGAAAACAAAACAAGCAGACCATTGGGACTCTGTAAAGGGTGACCATCACTGCTTAATAGAGGTGAAAATAACTGAGATCAAGGGAAACGAATTCAGGACTTTAACAGCTGGCCACTCACTACAGGGTGATGCTGGACGCTGTTTAAATATAGGTTTGATTGTATTAGGCAGCTGTTCAGTCTTGAGAGTTATATAAATTACTCCATCAACCCTATCACTCCTAAGATCTCTTCCAGGAGTTTTCCTGCTTTGCTTTCAAATCCAGATAACTCAGACTTCCATTACTCAAACCTTTTTCATTTCCCTTGAAAGTTTGAGTTATCAGGAGTTGACTGTAAACTTATTATGGGTGAAAGTATGCAGGATTGGCTGCATGACACTGGAGGATGTAATTGCTCCATCAAAGTATTGAAAAATTTGATTGACAACTGTTATCAGTATAACACATTTTGTAATTGTTGTTTTAGTTCTGTGTGTATGAGGTTGTGCCATCTTCAGATGATGATCCAAGCTTGTCTGCACTTTCCTTCTCATACTTTCCAAAGGTAAAATCTCAAAACTGACTGATCACTTGTGGAGGCAGGTTGGCCAAGTATTTAGGGCACTGGTCTTGAAATCTGGTGGCTCCCCATCCTGCTACTCACTGGATTTATTTTCAGGTGCCTTGAGAGTTCAACTCCTTGGCTGCTCTTTGTTTATAGCTGACTGGTCTGCCTCCTACCAGTTGGGGTTCTTCAAGCAATGCGTTTATGGTCGTTTACTGTGTTTATTTCCAATTTCTTTGAATTGATTGTTTGAAAGAACTGCTATTACCCCATCTGGGAATTTAGTAGCCCAAGATCTCTCTTGGACACCCTTTGTTTCTTGTTTGCTTTCTACCTTGAAACTTTTTGACGGCCATGCTTTTGTCTTTTTGCTCATGGATGAATGTGCTTTTTGTTTTGAAAAAAAGGAAAATCTTGTAGACTTTGCTGTGACCACATCGAACATCTGGACTTTATGGACAGATAAAAATGGTGAAACAATGGCTTACTTCACTCCCATTGAAAAGTAAGTTTATAAATTGTAACATTTGACATGTGAAATGTTTCTCTGAGGAATTTTTTAATAAAGTGAACTTCTTGGTGGTAAATCTGTCCATTTCTAATGCCAAAAGGTTTCACTTCAATTTTGTAGCATAGATGCACAAGAATGTGGTTGGAAAAGAATATTCCTTAAACCAACAGAGAATTCTGATGTCATGGTTCCACCATATAAAGAACCAAGAGTAAGTTTGTTTATTGAACAGATACTGGAAATCTGATTCTTCAAAGAAGAATGTAATAAATAAGGAACTTCAGAACATCAATGAATAGTCTGGAGAAAAATTTGACCATATACAATGTTAGGAATACACTCCAAGATTTAACAAGGCTGCACTGTTAATTTTTAGGGTGTGATAGGAGTTATACCAGTTCAATGTGCTGTTCACCATTTTGAAGAACTTTTTAAAAATGTTGTCAAGATTAATCTCTACGTTAACTAAAAGTTTAAAATGTGGCTACATTTTACAACTATTTTTAAGATTTCTTTGGTGCTTCAAAATAGAGTCAGTGCAGATTTTTCTTATGAAGTTTATCCCACTGTAACCATTCTAAAATTATTTTCTCAGGAAGTTTTTCTTGATCAGCTCTTCTACCCTGGAAGGTTTTCAAATCATTCTATTCTGAAAGCTATGCAGGTACAGTTCTTTAAATATCTGTGTTCATTTGATTCTGTGGCTTCACAGTTTCTGTTGTGTCTTTGATTTGTTCCAACACTTGCCATGTGGAAATAATGATGTGGTTTGGAATGCAGATACCAAATTGTTGTTTTGTTTATTGTTTATTGTTTTTGTTTTTGCTTTTTCCTTATAGATATACCACCATTTACCAGTTTCAAACTTTGTCAGTGATTTTGATGAGACTGTTTCAAGGAGTGATTTGAAACTGGCTGTTATCAATCTCATTGATTCAGAGGTTTGTATTGAAAAGAGATGGGTTTTCTTTGCTGAGATTCCATTGTTGCAGTAGGTTTTGAACTGTAGAAAAATGATACAGATCCAACATGGCAACTCACTTTTACTTTTCAATGTAATCATTACAGGAGAATTATAGGCACCCCCCCACCACCCCCCTCGATTATGCACCCTCCATCCAGTAGCAAAAATTTTAAATAAGTGCCTTATCGCTTATTCAAGGAAATACATAATGGTTTAAGTTTACCACTTACAAAATCTAATACAGTTGGCTTCTTTAGATTCAGATGTCAGCTCCAGATTATGAGATGCTTCACCATGAGTACAATGATCTTCAGCTACAATGTTGGACAAAGTTCTACAGCTGTGTTGTACAGTACCATCAAGTAAGTATCCATGCTCCTGGGTGCTCCAAACTGCCACCATTTTGGTAACCATGGTTCATAGAAACAAATTTTAGAGGCCAAATTTCTTAGTTTGGTGTCCCATGTACATGTAGTTTACACACCATTAGAATCAACAGATCAAAGTCAGTATCTGAACAACTGCACACTTACCCCTCCCCTAACCTGACATAAACCTTAAATTGTTACTAGTTGACTGCTATTGGGTTAGGAGAGGGGTAGCTGCAGAATCAACAATGTTGAAGGCATCAGATTTGGTTTAGAAAAAGAGTTTTGTCCCTGTGTTGATTTGAGACTGATTTTTGTGGGCTTCAAATTATTTTGCTTGATCTTATTAATAGACAACAATGAATCTGTTGAAAGATAATGATAGAATGTTGTATCACCCTCAGTGTTTGTAAGTTAGATTTTTGGTGAAGGTGTAAATAACTGTCTTTAATTCTTTTTCCAGGTTGGAGGTAAAGCCTTGGGCATTTTCATGGACACTAAAACAGGATTAGTCTGTGTTGTGCGAAAGGTAGTAAACTGAAATTGTTCACTCATATTATTTTGATAAGAGATATTCTTTAAATTATCTCTTTTACACCCAAGCCTTAACAGTTCATTCTCCACACCATCTTCCTTTCATTTCTCACAATTTTACTCTAACAATGTGAAGTCAAATCAATCAAAGTCCCAAGGAAATATTTTTACTTCTCTTCATCATCTTTCTACTCAAACTTGAAATGATATTGTAAGGAGAAACTCCTCTTTGGTTAATTCTGAGAGTGAAAAGGTTAAAGAATTGTAAATTGTGTGTTTCATCGTGGGTTTTGGAACACAAAGAAAATAGTGAAGAAAATAATATATAAGCACACAATTTCTTGTCACCTTTATCAGTTACAGAATTCTGTAGATGGCATTTTCTTCAATGTTTTGTCACACAGGAAATGCTGTCATTCCTGAGACCCTGTGACCTGTTTGAGCAACTTCACCTCTCTGAAGAACCTCTAGAAGTGTCAATTGTTGCCACAGAGCCTCATCTGGGTATGTATATAATCTTAATGTTCCAAATATAACAGGTTTTCTATTTCACATGGATGTGTAGCTTCCTCTTAGTAAAGGAGTTGGAGGTCTGCAATGAAGGATGTAGAATGAGCTTCGCCCTCTTCAATTTGTGGTCCAAACAGGAAGTGCAAAAATACCGACTTAGGGTACAACTTTAGACACTTGAGTCCAAATTTAAATTGTAGAGTCTGATTTTACACACTAGTGTCCAATTTTAGACATGTGTACATGTCCAATTCTAAACATTTTTGTCTGATTTTAGACACTGGTATTGGATTTTAGTAATTAATGACTGATTTTAACTGATTTTAGATGGTAGTGTCCACAATCACATTTTGGACACTGGTGTACAAAATAAATGAGAAGATCAAAGCTGTTGTAATTGAAAATAATATTCTTGTCAGTTTTACATTTTTGTGTTACTTTGCAGATAAAACCATGAAGGAATCATTCATAGATCTTTGTAACATCATCAGAATGGTTTCAGATCAGGTGAACTAATGTGATGCAATTTTCCTAAATGATAATTTGTTGCTTAAATACAGTGATTTAAGAAAGGTTCATATAAATTTTAATATTGATTCAGTTAGTTGTGATCAAATTTAGCAATCTTACAATGCAGTAACTTGTATCTTGACACAGAATTTTTTTAAAATTTTTTTTCTCCATCATTCTAATGTAGCTATCTCCTGAGCATCTATCAGCACTTGAAAATGATGTCATGTACCAGCTGAATCCAGCATTAACTGCTGAACAGATTGCTGTTTATCTTCTAACAAATGTGAGGTAAGAAGCAACAGTGTATTTCCCACAAGAAAATTTTAATATCTAAGTATTAGAGCCCTGTCTCTGATTAGACTCCTCTTTAGCCAGACTTCTTTAGTCAGACTCTCTTTGAGAAGCCTCTCCCTCTAATAAGCCCCTCTTTTTTTGTAATCTTCTCTCTCTCCTAAGCCCCTTCTTTAACAAGGCCCCTCTCCAGTAAGCCCCCCTTTCTAATAAGCTTCTTTCTCTTATCAGCCCCTACCTAATAAGTCCCCTCT